TGCTGAATGCGTGGATCTTACGGCTCCCCCAGATTGTAGCCACTGCCCAGCGGGGACCGAACCTGCCGTGGGATTCGAATACAAATGGTGGAACACGCTGCCCACGAACATGGAAACGACCGTCCTCAGTGGGATCAACTTTGAGTACAAGGGCATGACAGGTAACTGCCTCCCTCCTGACTGTGAGCTTTCAGCTCACTTCGCTGCCACAGGGGCTCTTCCCACCTCACGTTTCTTCATAATAGGGATGTCTGGAGAAAAATGAGCTAATCGCGCCATGCACTCCCCTGCATGCTCCACTGCGCATGGGCATATAATATATATTCTGCCAAGCCTTTGTTTTAGGGACAGAAACAGAACTAGAAACAATGTGTACACACGCCAAAGGCCGTGCTCTGAGAGTTTCAGAGACTTTGACCAAACTAGCCAGACAAGTAACATGGTTTGTTTGGCGGTGATTCTGAACGCCTCAAAGGACGGTGTTATCTTTCTTCCAGAGTGTCATCTGGGTGCACATTTGCCCTGCACCCAAGACCACTGGGCATTAACTCTTCCCTCTCCTTTTTCAGGCTGGGAGGTGGCTGGTGATCACATTTATACAGCTGTTGGAGCCTCAGACAATGACTTCATGATTCTCACTCTGGTTGTGCCAGGATTTAGGTGAGGAGTACAAAGCTAAAGGGAAGCCCACACCACCCTTGGCCACATCCAGGTCCCACATAGCTAGGAGTGTTGTAGAGGAGAGGGCTTCTGGCTTGTGGACGTGTCAGTTCAGAACAGAGGAGATCATGGTTATGGTCCAATAAAGTTAACCTGAATGCTAACACTCATTCTTATTTGCTGCCCATGCTGATTACCTACTGCTCTCTCATCCCGTCTAGCTTCTCCCATCATTTGGCCACATGCTACTTGAATTCCTCCTCCTCACAGCATCAGATAAGATTTTAAAAACCTGTAAAAAATAGGGCCAGGGGTGCCCATAGACAGTTCATCTTTATTTGGGACAAGAAGATTGGGAGGGATTGTTCTTATCATATTTATCCCCATATCCCAAGAAGACCTAGGATAATAAGCAATGTGTTTGCCATTAAAAAAAAAATACAGGCAGGGTGGTATGGTCGGTGCAAAGAACACGGGACTGGGAGATAAGGCACTTGAGCTTTGCCACTTACCGGCTAGGTGAACTTGGGAAAGCCATTGTGCCCCTATAGGCTTTAGGCCCCTATAGGCTCCTTGTCTGTAAAACAAGAGGGATTGACAGCCTGTGATTTTGGACTAACTCAGATTGAGATGATTCTTCTAGCCCATCGGTTAGCACCACTGTGTAGGGAGGAGCCGGGAACTGGAGGTCCTCAGAATTGAAGCAAATGGCCAAAGCCAAAAGAAAAGCCATAAATGGATTTCCAAAGCCAAAGTGAACTCTTCTGCCTATATGTGCTTTAGAGGTCAGGGGGAACCACTGAATCGGCGTCCCAGTTGCAAATTTGGCTTCTCCATTCCCTCCTTCAAGCTCCCTCCTTTCCATCCCTGGCACAGTGCTTAGCCACAGCGGTTGCTCAAAAGGTTTCCCTTTCCTTAAGTTACATTACTCAGAGCCGAACAGCTATATCCCATGTTTATGAGGCAAGCAAACTTTTTAGACTTTTGGGAGGTAACATCCCCCAAAGTACTTTTCAATTTGCAAATGATTATAGCAGTAAAGCAATTCCGCACCCCACTTATCCCCCACCCCCCGCCATCCCCACCCATCGGGCATGGCTGTCTCTTTCTCCAAAGAAGGACCAGCCTGAGAACCTTGTTAAAGAAACAAGTTGAAGCACCTGCTAATTCGATCCAGGCAAAACCCCCACTATCCCTGGGAGAGAGCAGCTGAGCGAATGCAGACAATTGACATCTTATGATAGTGATGATTCTCAAACTTTAACGTGCATATGAATCACCTGCGAATCATGTTAATGCACAGATTCTGATTCAGTGGGTCTGGAGACCACACTCTGCTTGTGAGGCTATACAGCATTTTACAAAGCACTCCACATCTGCTATGCCTTCGGATCTTACCACAATGATGGGAGGTAAATAAGAAAGATTATTACCTCCGTTGTACAGATGAGGAAACTATAGTTTGTCTAGGTCAAGTTCACACAGCTAGGGCGGCAGAATTGGACTTAGTCTATGCTCTTTCCAACATACTCAGAACTTAATCCTGTCCCCCAGCAGACCCTTTGCTGCCATCTGGGCTCTTCAATAAGCACTGTCCGCCTCTGGAACCGACTTTTGATTTCTGCCCCACAGACCTCCACAGTCAGTGATGGCAGACACAGAGAATAAAGAGGTGGCCAGGATCACGTTTGTCTTTGAGACCATCTGTTCCGTGAACTGCGAGCTCTACTTCATGGTGGTACGTTTTCCTTCCTTTGCCTGCTTTGGGGCTTCCAGGGACTATTGCGAGGGTTGGCCCCGCTGCCCTGTCGGGGTATCAACATAACTGACACCCTTGCTTACAGTGATTTCGCAGAGGAAGGGCCTTGACTGTCTGTCAGGGACTGCACCGTTTGATATGGGTCTAACCCACTGTGATGGCCCCCAGGATGGCAGCGGTATGGGCATCCTCTCCCCACCAGCCACCCAGCCATCATGCCTTCTTCACTTATCTGTCTTGGGTTCAGGGTATGAATTCTAGGACCAACAGTCCCGTGGAGACGTGGAGAGGTTCCAAAGGCAAACAGTCCTATACCTACATCATTGAGGAGAACGCTACCATGAGCTTCACCTGGGCCTTCCAGAGAACCTCTTTTCATGAGACAGTAAGCTCCTCCCCTTACTCAGATGCTCAGCGCCCAGAAGAGACCTCTGAACCTGAAAGGATTCCTGCATTAGCTTAAGTATGAGGTTGAGCTTCAGAATCCAGGGATTAGAAGACTCCTAAGGAGTCAAGCAAAGAACGCCTATTCCAGGCCCTGAGGAGCACCTAGCCTCGGCCAAATGACTTCCAGGGGAAAATGACACTCTAAACTCCTAAAATTACCTGTCCCTCCTCAGCAGACCTGCCCTGAGGACATGTGTGGTTCCTGACCTGGTATACCCTCTTCAGTCCTGCTCTATTTTTTTTTTTTTTTTTGCGGTACGCGGGCCTCTCACTGCCGTGGCCTCTCCCGTTGCGGA